ACCCAGGTTTGATTCCCCACATGGATACAATTTGTGAAGCCCATTTCTAGTGTCACCCACTCCGATATTGCTGGAATATTGCTAAAAGCAGCATAAAACTATACTCAGTCAGTAAGTCAGAATTAATTTTCATTATTAGAAAGAAACAACACTGGTCTTAAAACACATCCTTGCAGCAGCCACTGTAATTGATAAACCACACACGTGATTCATGTATGAAGAATGTTATCTGGTGTTTACGCTACCAGATAACACAGAGTACTATACCACTGACACATAATGAAGTACTGGAGCGTACAGAGCTATGCTTTAGTGATCTCACCCTCCGATTAAAGAACTTAATTCACTCGCCACATGTAAACAACTTCAAGATCTCGATTTAAGTCAAGCCTGGATATGAATGGAAAGAGCCATAATTTAATGCTGATAGATAGCTAACAAATCATCGATATTTCTATTGCTACACAGGATTTGATAATAACCTCAGTCTGCGTCAAATTAACTTCAGGAAGGATGAGCGACATTTCTGTGATGACTTCCATTACTGACTGTTGTGGCCATAATAAGTACCTCAACTACATAGAAAACTGACAAAGGTTGAACTCATGGAGACCATGCACATGTTGACAGACTAATGGTAGGGAAATCCTGAGTTCAAATGTTGATCAAACTACAACCCAACCTACAATAGTTACAAGTCAGTTATACATCCTTTAACACTTCTATTTTTGTATTCATATTGGGTTCTTACATAGTTTACTTACAGACTTGCCTAGTAGTTGGACAAGGCACTTATTGAAGCCATGCACTTACTACACAAATGCAGTATTGCAATTTTCATCAGGAGGCGCGGGAGATTGATTCGATTGATTTGTGAAGCTAAAAGCAGGTTTGATTCCCCACATTGATACAATTTGTGAAGCCCATTTCTAGTGTCACCCACCCGATATTGCTGGAATATTGCTAAAAGCAGGTTTGATTCCCCACATTGATACAATTTGTGAAGCCCATTTCTAGTGTCACCCACCCGATATTGCTGGAATATTGCTAAAAGCAGGTTTGATTCCCCACATTGATACAATTTGTGAAGCCCATTTCTAGTGTCACCCACCCGATATTGCTGGAATATTGCTAAAAGCAGGTTTGATTCCCCACATTGATACAATTTGTGAAGCCCATTTCTAGTGTCACCCACCCGATATTGCTGGAATATTGCTAAAAGCAGGTTTGATTCCCCACATTGATACAATTTGTGAAGCCCATTTCTAGTGTCACCCACCCGATATTGCTGGAATATTGCTAAAAGCAGGTTTGATTCCCCACATTGATACAATTTGTGAAGCCCATTTCTAGTGTCACCCACCCGATATTGCTGGAATGAAAATAGAAATTAATTTGTAACCCTGTGATGTTGTTTGTTTTATTCCAAGTCTGTATTAATATGAGAGATGTGAATTAGCCTTTGCATTAACAGGTCGACTAGTAATAACATAAGCCAGTCCTTAAAAGCCTGCAAGTTTATTAAAGACACCATTAACAGATCAATCAACTCAATCTGACAGGCTTTGGGCAAATTTGCATCCCTGAATATAGGACGGAAATGTAGTACCACTTATTAGTCAAATTATTCATCATATCAGAGCATATTATTCATAAAACAATCCTCTTTAATTCTTATCCCCTCCATACTACAGCATTCACCTCTCATCCCCTTCTTGGCTCGAGAAGCTAGTACTCAGCCCCTATTCAGCTCGGAAATATGGAGACTACGACTGGTCCCTTACACTAAAGAGTTCCTCAATACGATTATTTACATTTAACTTCATATATTACTATATTTAGGGGACAATAATCTCATATTAATGGTAAAACATGTCAATGAAATTGGTAGGACAAAATATGTTACGGCCAAGTTTATTTAGGCCAATATGGAGAAGGCTATAAGTGGTCTATACCTTTTTCTTTTACAGGGGTGGAAATAACTTTAAAATTGCTATTGTACACCGGTACAGTGGCACATGTAAAATCACTTGCCCTGATAATTTTTCCACTATACCGGCCGTTTTCTTGTTGATTTTTTAAATAAACAACATAATTAACATTGGAAAGTCAACTGGACACCGGTACAGTGTGATATACAAATTTGCTTGCCGACCGGAAAAAAACACTGGACTCGGATGCCGGGCAATGGGTTATTTCCACCCCTGATTTATGGCTTATTTATGTTGCTTGTAAACCAAAACGAAAACAATTGTCTTACTTGCCATGAGTTTGACAGGATCACTTGGTTTAAGTGTTAAAAAATGCATATTCAAAGGAGGATGTTCAGCCTTTCCACAGTAACATGTTCATATCCACTTGGGGCGGTGGGGTAGCCTAGTGGTTAAAGCGTTGGCTCGTCACGCCGAAGACACAGGTTCGAATCCCCACATGGGTACATTGTGTGAAGCCCATTTCTGGTGTCCCCTGCCATGATGTTGCTGGAATATTGCTAAAAGCGGCATAAAACCAAACTCAGTCAGTCAGTCATATCCACTTCTGACATAGACATGGATGTGTTCCGTTTGTGATCAATAATTACATACTGGAAGTGATATTGTTTTCTTAACTGGATCATTGTTACTACATTTATTGATGAATGCTTTGACCCCACTCCAGTAAAATGAAAAACCATGTGTTGCCTACTGGTTGAATAAACTTTCATGAAGTCAAAAATGTTTTTGTAGACTTCATATGAACATAAACTGGAAAATAAGAAACACAAAATATGGCTTGGAGCAAATGTCAAATGTAAATTGAGACGTCATTGCTCGTGCAATCATAAAGCACAAAAATGTTCATAAAATAAAATTAAAATAAGCAAATTAACAATGTGGAATTTGAATGAATTCGGTCCAACTTGCATCTTGCCTTGGCTGCCTGGAGAGAGCCTAGCTGTGGGGTAGAAATGTACGAGTGTGAAGTGAGGTGAGGTGAGGTGAAACTGGGTTTAACGTCGTGCTTGAGAATATTTCGCTCATATGACGATGTGCATGCGTGTGAATGTGTATGTGCGGCTGCTTGTATTAGCCCAGACTGAAGCTGGTTTTGATAGTGCTAGCCCACTGAGATACCATGCCGCAGTGAAGCATGAATACCCCACTCAGACCCACTATACTGACTCCGAGGCGACCAGTCCTTGTTCTACCCATTAATGCCGAGCGCCAGGCGGGGACCAACAAGTACCATATTTTATCGTCTTTTGGTATGACACGGTCGGGGATCGAACCCGCGCCCTTCCGCTCTCCGGGCGGACGCTCTAACCACTACACCACGGAGACAGTAGAGTGTGAGCCTAGGCGGGTTTGTGTATTTAGATGCTACTGTGATGCTTTTATGACATATGCCTGAAATGTACACTTTGTTGTCTCAATGCAATGTAAATCAGTTGTGTAATACACATCACTGCAATCGAAATCAACATAACATCACGTACATATCAAACATACAAGAAACAGACCTTATACAAAATGTAAATAGCTAGTCACAAAAATTACCTTTAGAAGAAGGAAATATTGATTATTTAAAAACAACAGGGGTGAAGTTGTTTATAAAACATACATTTAAAAACTTTAATCCACACTGTGTACACTGATACTTCATGTCCATATGACTGGAGCAAACAGATTAAAATAGTATTGAGATCCAAACTGCTGCTCAACAGTGAAATCGACGTGACAAATAGCTGTCAACAGGATTATACGTCAATATATCTGCAGTATATCTGCTAAGACATGACAAAATCATCGCCCAGGTATTAAGCCTGCATGACTCACTGCTCCAGCGAGGACATGGTGTCAAATTGCAACATTCACACCCAAGCTTAAAATGCATGTAGCTGCAGAAGACACATTTTTGTTGGCCCAAGCCATGGATTCTGTACAAATTTTACAACCATGTTTAGCAAAATAACCATCAAGATAGAACATCTAAACAATGCTTGCATCACAACTACCGATTAGAGCGCAATGCAAACAGTGACTATAAATATTTTAAGACAAAAATTGATTTGAGTCATAACTGAGCATGATTTCCCAAGTAATTTTACCTGATTCTTCCATGTTATACGATGGCAATTGTTAATTCTATTTTTGTGTTATACTATTATAAGCTACAGGTGTGTAATTAATAACAGAACCAGATGTGTGGCTGCAAAATTATTAGATGCTGTAATAAATAGGCAAACAAGATTCAGGTGCCTCAGACCTTCAAACAAAACAATGATTCATTCATACACAGGTTGAAACATTGTGATACAAAGTGCTAGGACCAATGTGATATTGTCAAAATGCATTCCGAATGCTGTCCTTAATTAATCACAAACAAAATTATTTAATTGATCACAGAAAGAAATGAAAGAATAAATTCAAAATCATGACCTAAACGTACTGAAAATATAAATGAAATATATCGAATATTTCTGCTCAATATACAGGTATTTGCAAAGCTACAAGTAGCAGTATTGTTACTATGTACCGTTATCGGTCTGGTACACTATTGACAAGATTCCATGGTTGATAACTGGTGATCACGACTTCATAGGATGAGACAAAATAACAAGCCACTCAAAAGGATAACAGTATCTTCCTCCCTTTGTTTAAGATGAATGGAATGTGCATTAGAATCGAGTAAATCGCTTGTGTTTGACCTGATGTGTCTTCAATCGACCCGTCCCGCCATTTTGAATACAATATGCATGCGCTATGCGCTAGTGCAGTCGCAAATTCAAGCTAACGGTACTCGAGGGATGTGCATATTCTGAAATAAATGGGTTGTAATTTACAAAACGCATGAGTTACAGGAGGAAATACCTATACCCCATGTGTACAAAAACTAATGTCAAGGTCGAACCGGCAACACTCGCACTGATAAAGATATGATCTGCTACCGGTAGTGTGAAGCGAACGTTGCTAATATTTCTGCAAACGAAGAAAAAAATTACGAATAAAATGTCTACTTACCCATGGTGGAAGGATAAAACTCGGGCGGCTAGGAAAAGTAAAATATGTTAACAGCTAATAATTTGTCCACGAGAAAAGGTAAGCGTAAATTTCCTCATCCTAGAAACATCATGTCTACGAAAGACCTTCCATCACACTGTTCAACACAGAGCACTGAAGCTGTTCGGACCAGCCCATTATTATCATCGGGGGAGGAGGCTTTTCTGGTTGGTTCTTGGTGTTGACTGGGTTAGCTCGACACTCAATGTTCACTCAACCGTAATTCATACAGTTATCATTTCACACAAGTAAACATCAAATGTGGCCCAATCGAGATCTCCCATGCGCGCATATCAAACATGGCCCTCGTTTGGGAATACTTTACCCCTATTGGCTAAGAATAGGTACGTACTTAGAAATGTGTCAATCAAACCGTCTTGACTCCGCCTCTTTTACCCATAATTCACACCGCAAATTACAATTCATTCACCTTCATGCTGACAATATTGGAAGGTATATTACCCCAGAGATCGATTATTTGCAAGATTGTAGCTGACGGACTCTCAAAGATGTTGAGCTACTTTGGTGAATCTTCTCTTATATTGACCGCGGCTTTGCTTCTTGTCTGCATTTTAGCGATGGCTATCTTTCTAGGTTGGAAAAGGTAAGAAAATACTTGTTTACGTTCTTGTTTATTGAGTAGTAAAATAGATATACTACTCACCGTGTCATGCGTGGTGCTTAAAGATTATGAAAGTTTAGCTGTTCATTTTGGTGCAAATGGACACATGCGTTATTTGTTTCGCTTGTAAACTGGGTCATCTGGTCAAATGGCCCAGGGAATTTCACCCTCAAAATGTGAACAATTACTCAGGGTCAATCGCAAGCCATCACTGAACAGCCATTCAGGCCAAGGTCCAGTGATACTGGACAATAGGCTTGTCAAAACACAGGTGTCTTGACCCACAGATGTTTGCAAGTCTTGAAATGCGCTTAACAAAATTTATGTGATGACCCGAATTTTAAAGAAAATAAATTACGCCTCCATTGATACTTTTCAGTTTAGACAACTTTAACCCATGCTAGCTTATTGTAATGTTGAAAGTATTTCTACGGAAATTGTAAAATTATGCTTAAAAGTTATTGTGTTGGTTTTTTTTCAAAATTATAGCTGACGATTGTCTTATTATTTAGTTTAAGTTTCATTTTTAAATGAATTTGAAAATATGACATCTAAGAGCATACCGCTCAGTTGCATGATTTCGTTTCATAAGTATACGTGACAATTCGTACTTTCAATTTCTGCCGATATTTCTGAATTCACAACATTATTGTGCCAGAATATGTGTTTTATTATTCACACATTGTTTATTCACAAAGTAAAAACATGAAACTAATCGTGTGTTAACGCCCTTTAATAGAATTTAAAGGTTAGCATAATTGCTGATATTTTATCAATTTCAGTTCTATATCAGATTATTAAACAGGGAATTGTTGACATTTCACGTTTTTACGGTTAAATCGTACAACGGAATGAAATATTGCATCCATACGAAACGTAATCATGAATGCCTATATGTGAACATATATAAGCTGATGTGTTCGACATGTGTTTGTGCGAAGCCCCGTATGGAGTTACAACATTATCGCCCATTACACACGAACACCTGGCTGTCACGTGGCATGACGTAACCTCTCACCACCCGTCAATCAACACGTTCCATGTTAATAACAGTAGTCGATCATAACAGACAAATTATGTCATAATGTAGTTTAAACGACCAGTGAACAATGACTATTGGGTTTTTGATATCTGCATCTTTTTTAACTAAATGTCACGTACACAAATTGTTTGAACATATTTTATTATTATTATTATATGGGTATTTATATAGCGCTTTAGTCTATACCGCACGCATGCGCAAATCGCTTTTTTCTTCAGTATTGAAAGTGATTTGGGCACATGTTATTCAACATATTTAAGCCCGATCCCGAAAATTACATGGAAAAATGTACATCTTTAACTGAACCTCTTTGTTTGTTGTATAATATATCACTGAGTGACACAAATATTCAGTCAGGATGGGAATTATAATAATTCTGAACTCGAGAAACAGACAAAGCCTGCTTGTTCAGAGTAATGAGCAAAATTGGTGTTTTATCACAAAATCGGAATTTTACAGTCAGCGAATTTCGTTTTGACATGGATAAATATGTTTTCGTATTTATCCATAACTTGTAACTGGATCAGTTTAAGTCTCGCTTATTTTGTTGACGTATGTATCCCAGAGGCGTAAATCGATGCTCGTGACATCAGTCACTGGGACTGGGTTATCTGATCCTGATTTATGTACAGACCGCCGCCATGCAGCTAAACAGCAAATAAATAAAACTGATAAAATATGAGAACATGTCCACGAATGACAGCATTACCTACAGTAAATGCAATAATTTCTGATCAAGTATGCTTGAAACCTGAAGGTGGAACGTTATGGATATAACTTGTGTAATATAATTCATCCGATGAATGGGTGAGAACATAGTGTGTAATATAATTCATCCGATGAATGGGTGAGAAATATAATTAGTGAGAACATAGTGTGTAATATAATTCATCCGATGAATGGGTGAGAACATAGTGTGTAATATAATTCATCCGATGAATGGGTGAGAACATAGTGTGTAATATAATTCATCCGATGAATGGGTGAGAACATAGTGTGTAATATAATTCATCCGATGAATGGGTGAGAACATAGTGTGTAAACATAGTGTGTAATATAATTCATCCGATGAATGGGTGAGAACATAGTGTGTAATATAATTCATCCGATGAATGGGTGAGAACATAGTGTGTAATATAATTCATCCGATGAATGGGTGAGAACATAGTGTGTAATATAATTCATCCGATGAATGGGTGAGAACATAGTGTGTAATATAATTCATCCGATGAATGGGTGAGAACATAGTGATGAATGGGTGAGAACATAGTGTGTAATATAATTCATCCGATGAATGGGTGAGAACATAGTGTGTAATATAATTCATCCGATGAATGGGTGAGAACATACTCCAAAATGTTGTGTTCCTCACATTACAGAAGATGACATCCATAAACGTCCACCTGTATGTCATTCACATTAATGAAGATGACATCAATAAACGTTCACCTGTATGTGTATGACATCACTAAACGCAATTAAAAAACTTTATTTGAATATAGAATAAAAACAGTCAATTGATGCAGAGATTTAATATAAAACGGAAGAACGACCACGTGAGTGAGTGAGTGAGTGAGTTTTTATGCAATATTCCAGCAATATCACGGCAGGGGACACCAGAAATGGGTTTCACAGACTGTATACTCATGTGCGGAATCGAACTCGGATTTTCCACGCGAAAAGCGAACGCTTTTTGTATATGTAGACGTTCACTGGTGTCGTCGGTGAAGTTGGGGTTTCCGGAATAATGAGATGTCACTGAGAGTGTTCATGACAGATAAAATTGCAGACCGCGTGAAGATACGGGTTAGAATTGATCTTCAGTAACCCATACTTGTTGTAAGAGGCGACTAACGGGATTGGATAGTCAGACTCGATGACTTGTTTGACATATATCATCGTATACCAGTTGCGTAGATCGATGCTCATGTTGTTGGTCACTGGATTGTCTGGCCCAGACCGCCGCCATATAGCTGGAATATTGTTTAGTGCGGTGTAAAACTAAACTCACTCATATACCCCGCGGACCAGGATTTCAAAACTGTTAATCATTCGAGGTGATGTGAGAAGCTCATTTACGATGTTTCTGCCGTGAAATTGCCGAAGTGTTGCTAAAACGGCATAAAACAATACCCACTTACTTCAGATCATTTATAGTTCCATCTCCCGTCATAATTCCCCATTAATGATTATTATACCCTGAGAAAAGTCTGGTGAACCGATACACAGGCTGAGATGATGTGTTATATCGCGCGCCTGACGCGGACATTTCGCGCAGCGTTCGCGATGATTGATAGTTCCATGTCCCTTCCTGTTTCTTTATTAATGGTTATTCGTCCCTGAGAGAAGTCGGGCGAATCGATGCGCCTGGTAAGATGATGATATCGCGTCTACGACGCGAACATTTTGCGCCGCGTTCGCGATCGTAGGTTTAATCTTCAACAGGAGCTTGCTGTACAACCAACCACAAGTGTATATGCGTTGATATATATATTTTAGGGGAGCGAATATGGTTTTACACCGCTTCTAGCAATTTCCAGCTATATCACGATGGGGGACATCAGAAATGGGTAGTCTGTCTCACTGTCCCTGAACCGTATTATTTTCCCTTCTGCATGACCCTATCTATACAATGCTGAAGCTCTAAATGAAACAAGTCTAGATTTCCTCATTTTCAGGTTCCGAATCTCCCTGTTTACTGGGCTCCTTTTAGGTTTTAAAAGGAATTGTTTGTATCTACTAAATCAAATATATTCAGAGAATAACCGACAATCAACAGAAATGGGCTTCACACGTTGTACTAAAGTGGGGTATCGAACCAGGGTCTTCGGCGTGACGAGCGAACGCCTAACCACTAGGCTACCTCAATGGCCCATATACATTAAAAAAACAAACAAAAAAACCCACCAAGAGTGCTGCCTAAACCACTCAAGAACAGTTAAATGTGTATCTGTGCAGACTTGGTCTCGCCTCTGTATGGTCTTTATAAACAATGCCGATGCGACGTAAAATATTAACCCACTCACTCACTCACTCAGTGAACATGGCGTGAGTACAGAGCCCTTTACAACAATCAATTTTGCAATTATGTTCATTTAAAGCAGATCAACATAACACGAGTTATATGGCCTTGAGTAATTTCATAACCAAATACTCTCATAGCAGATCTTGTTAATCCTTTTATACCCAAGCATGTTCCGGGTTTACTTAAAAAGTGAATTATTTTTGCCGTTGCTACTTAAAATATCTCCCCTCATTTCTTAGATGGAGATAAACCGGTACAACCAGGCCATTCACTGCCATGTTATTTATACCCATCAATCAATATTCATGACGTGAAGTAGAGAAATATCAAAGAAAATGCTGATCTTTTTGTGTTTTACACGGGTTTCATTACTACAAAAAAAAAACAAGGCTGTCCGATATGTTTTCTTTGATATGTTTTTCAAACGGAAGAGAATGATACTTAAGATTGCTGTGTAATTTAGATAAAAGCAGTCATTTTCAGAAAATCAATTAATTGCCACAACAGAGAGTTATCATCTGCGCAAGTGCTATCGGGGGCGTCTTGGTGACCTTGGCACCAAAGTAGTAAACTGACTGAAACAAATGTAGGACTTGTGTAACCATGAACGCAAAATGCCACTAGTTGTTGTTGCTTGCAAAGGTCAGATTACTTTTCTTTCCGCCCACGAGCCAATTACCCGACATACTTTGCATAAACCAGGTTGTGAATCTCTGCAGCCAAAGCTTGAAAAAATCGAACGAAACTCATTCTTTTAACGTATTCAACGATATATTCGTCAGTGTGGTCACGAACTTTATCAATTATAAATATTTGGTAATGAAATCTGATTTCTGTTTGGAAAATCTATTTAAAATTTTAAAAGATCTCATTTTCATAATATCCTTAAAATACATTGTATTGTATTGTTGTTCC